CATCAATAACTATGTTTCCACTAGGTAGAGGTTGGAACCTGCCAAAAATTCCAATCTCAGCACTATGGAGGTCTCGACGAATATATATTCCTAAATTTCATGATATTCTCAGAATTATTGAGTTTTTAAGCAAACTGTACGAAATGTATACCGTTAAAATTTTCAATCCAAAGGAAGCTTTAACTAACTTTTGAATCGAACACAAGAACAAGCTCCACTACCCAAGCTTCGTTGATTGTTATAATAAGTTGTGTATTTGTCACAAATTCGGCATTCATTACATTTATTTTGCTTACTAGATATGTGTTTGATGCTAAATAGTCAAAATTTAATTTATAATTAATTGATTTTTCCATACTAATTCTTTAATTATTTTTTTAAAAAAGTTAGTTTCGCTACTCCTATGAAAATAATTTGACTTATTTATGTCTATTCGAAAAAATATTCTTTCACGTTTAAATATATATATTGAAAAATCGTAATACCGCAGTAAATAACGACTCTGAAAATATGGGACCTTTACAATAGAAAAGGGGAAACTACCAAGAAAAATAAAAAAAAAGACAATACAAAACCTGAACAAACCGTATTTTGCCTAAAAATCATATTTGGCATATCAAAGTAAAATCGATTTTCCCCTTTTCTATTGCAAAGTCGGCTCGATGACAAGAGCTTGCGCAAATTAAATTTACTACTGCCTGATTTAACTTTTGACTCTTCAATTTATTAATGAACATTTGAGAAATTTGTTGTTATGAAAATGATTAATTTAATGCAAAAAAAAGAAATTTATTTTATTTTATTTGATGGCTTTTAAGCGGCAAAATTTTGAACTAACTAACTGTTCGTATGGTTTTATAAGAGTGTATATCTGACATTAAAAAAGTAAGAATATGAAAATACAGTTGATTTCTGACTTTTAACTCTTGAAAAAGTTAACTTTACCAAAACTAAATAAACTTGCATTCGTATAATTTTGATCTAGACTTTTTAGATATAGAAAATGATTTGTTGTAAAATATTCAAAATATTCGCGAAGTTTATAATTCGAAAATTATTAATACTTACTTTGTGAATTTATTTACAAAACTATTTTTAGTATTCTTATTAAGAACGGCTTTTATGGATGTTGAAATTGAATTTTTGTTTTTTTTTCATTTAAATACAAATGAAAGAAATAAGTTTTATTATTAATCCAAAATTTTTTCACAGAACATTCTCTACAATTATGGAGTTAATTACTTATTGTTTTCTTTCATTTTTTTTTGAGGCAAAAATTTGTTTTCAACTGTAATTCTCTTATCCTACTTATGAATTTTCGAAGCGAATTTGTTTAACTGCATTTATAAAGTGGGGGTTTTTTTAGATTTTATTAGATTGTAAAATCAAAAGTCAAAATTTGTCCAACAAAAGTCCAGACAAAATTATACGATTAGTTCATTTCCAGAATGTTAGTTTGTTTAAATTGGTTCATAAATAATTACAATATTTGTATCAATAGCATGTATGAAATTCTAATTATTTTTAAATAAATATTAGCTACTATTTTATCAAAATAAATAATTAAAAATTTTATTTTTTTAACAAAAATGATTAAAAGTAAATTTGCTTAAAGATAATGAAAACAACAAGTCCGTATAAAATTCAGGAACAAAAAAAGCAAGGTAGACTGATAATTTCCGGGTTGTAATGCGTACTAGAATGATTTGTACAAGAAATTCATAAACGACAAGTTTTGTTGAGAAATTAGGTTCATTAGTTATTTGAAGTTTAACATTGTTAGAATTCTACTATTAAAATATATGTATATATAGTCTGTTCTTAGTTTCTTGAGATGAAAAAGGAGCTTGTGCTATATAAAAAGATCAATAAAGAAAATTAAACATTTTAAATTTGAATACACAATGGCACTTTAAAATAATAACAATTTGATTTGATACTTTCTCACAAAATAAACTCATTTAGTAACATAAAATCTTTGCTATTAAATATAAATTTTAAATCTTCTGCTTACCATTTCTTTATTTATAAATATATAAACGTAAAAAACTGAGTATAACCAAATGGTAATAATTTTTTACTTTATAAATTTTGAAATATAATCTGAGAAATTTTTATAATTGAACTAGTTAATATCTGCTACATTGTAGCAGATTATGAGAATATAATTATTAGTAATTGAATTATGTAGTAGAATATTTAAAGTTTTTTAATTTATTAAGTTATAATATAAAAAGTGTTTATTTAATAGGTAAGAGATAAAATGTATAAATGTATATTGAATAAATTATAAAATATATTTTAGAATATAATAATTAAAAAAAGGAATTCTATAATATAATATGCATAATCTATTTTATTTTGCTATATAGGATTAAGTACTTTATTATACAATATTTCTTATTTGATAAGTTTTACTATTACCTATAAGAACTCTAATATTTTGATATAAGGTTACTTATAATAAAGCAGTATATATAGTTGATCATGTGAAAAAATAAGATAAGAAAGATAAATACTAACTTTATTTAAAGTCTTTCCTTATGATTTATTAATTGTCATTAAAAATGTAATATATATTTAAAATCAACATCAATTTAAAATAAAAGGTAGTTTACTTTCTATAGAAGTTAATGTAATATGTAAAATAAATACATATTAACCAATATAAAATTCTATTATTATTTTTACATTAATAATTCTACTTTAAAATTCATAACAAATAAGTCAAGTTTTATTACAAAGGTTTATGATGGATTTAAATTTCTTAAAGTATGATTGGTATTCCTAATTTTAATTTTAATTTACTAAGAGAAAGTTTAAGTATTTTTAAAGATCTTAAAAATTCTGATAAATAAATTTAATATTGATTTATTAAATTATTTTTTGTTAAATTTATTAAATAAGTATATAGATATATAAAATTATTATCAGAAATCCTTTTTATGATTATATTTGAAATAAATTTAATATTATTATTTATTGAAATTAAGATTGCTCTTTTATAATATAATAAGGATTACTAGAATTTTCATTTAATTTGAATAAATAAAATCAATTAGTTTAGTTAAAGTTCGTTTAAGTATTATTATATCTAAAGGAAGACTTATTATATCTTTTATATCAGGATTAATTATATATTTACTATTATCAATCTTTAAAAAACATTTTGCAAATTGCTTTTATCTCATATTTTCTTATGAAATATGAGTTTATAAAAGCCTCTTATTAGTTGATAAATCCATTATTTTAATATGAATTCATAAAAAGATTAGGATAAACTTATTAAAATATTATTAGCATAAAATGAATAAGATATTATAGGTAAAACTTATCATACATCTTTTTTAAAAATAATTCTTTTCTATTAAATAGTTTATCGACTTGTATAATATCTTAAAATGTTTGATCAACTGCTTTAAATACAAATTTTTGTAACATAATAGCTTCATTTTAAATAAAAAGCTTTATTATATTAATAAGATATGCTAATTTGCTATTATGAGAAATATTATATATTGAAAATTTATCTACTTTAATTTGAATTTTAAATCAAAAAGTGCAGTTTTACTACCTTTAAGTAATGATATACTGCTAATATAATATTATTATATGATCTGACTTTTGCTAATAAAATTTTATAAAAAAATGTTTTTTTAGTATCTATAAAAAAACAACCTTCTGTATTATTTATATGTTTTCATTTTATATTAAAAGTTGTTTATCATTTAATAAAGAAATATTTAGATGTACTTGATTAGCTAAATCTGAATTATTATATAACTTTTCATTTATTAGCTAATCCAAATTATTATTTGAAAAGTTATCATTTTATATAACAAAAAGTGACATATAAAAAAAATTAGTTAAAAACATTTCATTTTATTGGATTAAGTGTGTTATATTATTCAAAATAATAGTCTGAATAGGTATAGGTTACTATACATGATATAAAAAATCCTCACATAAGACTGATTTATGAAGTATTATGCAATGTTACATTCAAATTATTTCTTGGTTAAAAAAAAATTGGGCGCTTATTTTAAAAATGAATACTTTAATAGAGCAATAGTTTATAAGAATCATTTAAATTTATATATTCTAAGAAATTTATTATTTATACTCTAATTTCGAATGACGGCTGTTATTGTGAATTTATATTATTTAGCAAAGAATTCTCCTCAGTGCAATAGATGCATTCCAAAGAATGCTTATTTGTAGAAATGTTTAAATTTGCGTATCGGGTGACTGAAGACATATATATGTAATTAATAGTTATTCGGCACTTCGTGCCAAATAACTATTATATTGGGAAAATCAAATTTGATTGGTTTATTTGGGGCTCCGCAGGAGCCCCGAACCATAAATCAAATTTGATTCCCAATATTATTAGCTACCTTATAGGTAGCGGTAGTTATTCGGCTCGAAGTGCCGGATAAGTGATTTATCCGGTGTCCCGTGATTAAGCTATTGTTTACTATATTTTTAGATATATACAGGTATATTTCATATAATAGCGCCCTTATTTGTTTTTCCATTAGGAAGTTTAAAAGTTTCTGATAAGTTTATACCTTTCTATAGTTCTAACCATTTAGGTCGTGATACAGCAAATTCAATCAAACTTTGATGCTGGAATGAAGAAGTTGAAGCAACCTTAAAATAACAAATGAAAATGCTTATTTAGTTATGGAGTATTTTTACATTTTTGTTATAACGATATCATTATATTTGAATTTTATAGTCATCGAATGGTTTTTGTAAGGCATCGCAACCATTAAATAAAAAATAAAAGGCCATTGCAAGAAATATCATCTTCCGAATTAAATACAAATAAAAAAAAAAAAGAAAGGAAAAAATAAAACTTATTATACAAATTGTCCTATATATAAGTTTTTAATGCAAATTTATTAATACAAATACTGCTTGATAAAAGTTATTAAATGCCTGTTAATTATTTTTTTGCCTGATAAATGATTCTTGGCCTGATAAACGATTTTTTGCCTGATAAACGATTTATTTAGTCATTATTAATTATAAAAATCACGTGATACCGGATAAATTTTATTATATAACGATAATTTATATTTGCACACTACACAAAATAAAATTTACAAAACTTATCAATAATCAAATATTTCGCTTATCCTGCCGCTCTGGCTCTAGCGCAAATGTGAATTCATAAAAACAAAAAAAA